AAAGATGCCTGACTTTCCATACAGCATCAGCTTCCTGCGGTGATTTTAGTGCAAGTCTCCTGGTCTTCTGAATGGATACTAGCTAATTTGCAATAATGCATTGTGGGAGTAAAATATTAAAGCATACATTTTAGATGAAGAAGCAGAAATCTTGCTTATGTGGTGTGACTTTTCTTTCTAAATCGGATGATAAGAAAGCTTCCCTTCTCCATGTGAGACGGTTCACTTTGAGGACTGTAGGTGTTTCATGTGCATCGCCCATGGGTGCTCCAGGAGGAGCAAGGGTTGCCTGAACTACTGCGTGTGTGCCCTGTTCTCTCAGCTGACAGCAGCACTTGTGCATCTGCGATTGTGGTGTTGACGCTAACTGCTCAGTGACACCCTCGAGGAAAATCAAAGCTAGGAAATTTTGCTACACACATACTGGGTTACTAGGGCATTGCACGGCCTTTGACCAGCTCACGGACAAAGCAGTGGTGGGAGGTTCTTCCTTGGTTCACAGCAACTGAACTTCTCTGCTTGTGGCACAGAATTGCCCTCTCTTCTTCCCTCACAAAAGAAGATTTCCCAGATGTCTTCAGACTGACTGAGTCGCTGAAGTGCTTTGGCGCTTGTCGTGCAGAGGTCAGAAGGCCTTGGTTTTCCTTTTAGAGGTGTGTTAAATCTCAAAGACCTAAGCAGAGGAAAGTCTTTATCACACTGAGGTAGAGTTCAAAAGTAAGATGCGTGTTTCCATCCTCCCAGCACTGTCAGAGATTTATGAATGCAGTTTAGGACGCTCAGAGGTATGGTTTCAAGTGCTTTTGTATTCCTAGGAGCTGTCTCTACAGGGTGTTTCCTGGCCTTGTCGATTCTGTTGTGCGAGCATGAAGAAAGGCTGGAGTCTCGGCCAGCGTAGATCTGCGCGGCTCTGCCGGCTGCGCTGAGCACCGATTCACACCCACTGAAAGTCTCTCCCAGAATGTAATCGCACAGAAGCAAAAGGCGTGTGGAAGTAGAGCCGCTGCAGTAATTGCGCTGGCTCGGTCCCACCATTCAGGGGTGACGGCCTTTCCTTTCCTGGCAGGGAGCCACTGTTGTGCTGACAGCTCTGGAGAAGAGATTAGAAGCAAAGAGTGGGTTAAAATAGTGTGGGAATGGGTCCCTTGGAGCTGCACGTGGCTGAGCTGACCTACGTGCCTGGTACGGCCAGAAGGATTTAACTCACCTGTGGTCCCTTCCTCCTTGCTCTGGGCCTGGCTCTCACCTGATCCCTCCGTAGGGCGATTCAGCTCACTAACTTGACAAAAAACTACCTGCTTATTATTTTGCTGGTGTAGAGAGTTGCATTGGCTCTGCTCGGAGTCGGGCAGCTGCCTGCGCTCACGCGTGCCGGGGAGGCAGCGGTGCACCGGAGGGGTGGCTGTCCTTGGTGGTGGCGAGCCGTTGGGCCGCCTGCCTCCTGGGCGGGAGCGAGGAAGTACCACAATGCCG